AGGATTAAAGAGTTCTGATTCACTTTGTATTTGAAGTTTTTTTTTTCCCTCCACCTTTGCTCAGCTAGTGGAATCCATGATGAATTCTCATCTCCAAGGGGTAAGCTGTTTGTAGTAAAGCCTGATAGCTGCCTTAGGTCTCTTTAGAAGTAGCATTGATTCCTTCCTTTTCCTGTGTTTGTTTATTGCAGAATGATAGAATCCATGTAGATACAATAAATTATCATGCTTGAGTACTGTTAAGCATGTAATGGCTTTAGTTTTGTTCATGTAAATTATTTACATAGTAAAAATCTTGGCTTGTGTCAGACAAATAATGATGAGCATTTAACATCCTACTCGATTAGCATGAGTAATGCTCCAATGAGAAAGGTGAATGACAGAGGCCCCCTGAAGTTCATCTGAGGATGGAGATTAGAGTCAGAATGTGCTTGAGAGGGTAGCATCTGGTAAGGGTAGCATATTGGAGCATAGAATAGAATTTGGAAGATAGATATTTAGGAGGTGGATACTTTTAATAATGATTTAATTTAAAGTGTTTTCTGACATTTGGGTAGCTCTATAGGAGACAAATAAGACTCCTTGCATTTGACATGTTGTGGAATTCATTCACATTTCTGAGTCAAAGAAATTATAAAAACCAATTAATATATATATGAAAAAATAAATGAAAAACTAATCTTTTTCATATTATATTGTTCTGTTTCTTATAAAATGTCCTTCAGTTGTTAGTTTATAATATATTAATGAAAAATACTTGTCATTTCCTTTTTTCTACAAAGAAAATCAAAGAATGTTCTTATTATACCATACAGAAAATGTACCTTAAAGGGAGAATATTAATGTCTGCTAAGTTCCACAGCAAAATACGTTATTGTACAGACTTTTTAAAATGCATGTTTGTATGCCTTGACCAATGAATGTAATAAAGTTTTGAATTTTTTTTCTCAGAAATGTCAGGCTATATTGCAGATGTGAAGGTCCTTCCATTTTTATGAGATCTTTTTTTAAAAAGGATGTCATTAATAATTTGCTTGGGTGCTTACAAAGCATGTGTCTGTCAGCAGAATTATAGAATTGCCCAACTAGAGAACAGGTTTCACAATAGCCTGAGTTGAATTCTGTTCATCAGAGGAGAAAATGGCTTGTTTTAAGCCTAAATTGACATGCTTGCTAATTTCAGCAGTAAAAGCTCTTCCTTGTGGTCAGGAATAATTTAGAGTCTGGGAAAGTTCAAGTGAAAGTTGATGGAGTTACTTTTACAACACACTTCTCAAGGGAACTTGAAAATCTCAAAAGTAAATAGAGGTAGAGCAAACATCAAGTAATATACCTGCAAGTCAAAAGCAAATACTGATATTAACAGTTGAGAGTGAACTAATATGAAATCAAAGAAAAATAATCTGGTCGAAAACTTTTCAAGCACTTAAAAATAACTTTGACTAGTTATGCAACCATAGCAAATACTTTGCTCATTGCTATATCCAGAGCCCTTAGAACATCTAAAGTTTGAAAAAACCTGTACTAATATGAATGAATAATATGAATAAATTTCTCCTTTTGACTACATGTATTTGTTTCTTTATGAAATTTGAGATGAGTATTTGACTTTTTCTGTAGTTCCAGGGTAACATTTTTAAAGTATATAACCTACTAACTATAATACTGCTATTGAGAAGAGGTCAGCTTGCTGTGTCAAAATTACAAACTTTTGCATTCTAACACTGGAATGTGTCTCGTTTTATAAAATCTGTCTGCAACTATACTTCCCACTTTAAAATTTGTCCAACACCATCCAACTTACTTATTCTACTTACTTCAATAGCTGTCTTTGGCAATTTGTTCCATATTTCAAACACACTTTTATATAAAGAAACCATAAAAGTTAGAAACTTGAAAATTGGATTTTTCTTCTGAGCAATCACAACTTACAAATGTGGAAGATTTGTTAAATGCTAGCCCCTCTGATTTTTCAATGCACACAGAGAGAAATGCTCTAAATAAATGTGCAATATTTGAACAAGTTTTTCATACTATTTTAATATTACCAGAAGTCACTGAGATTAAATCTGAAACCTGATCCCCTTACCTATTCACAAAGGAAATACAAAAGAATGATCCAGCTTTGCCCTTTCCAAAGCCAAAATCCTTAGAAAATCATTTTGAGTCAAAGGGCATAAAGAGATAAGTTAAGGTCCAGAACTATTACTAGCTACCAAATTTCATCTTTCACTTTTATTAGAATTCCATTTAAAATCTGACAATTTCTAGTTTTGTTATTAAGAGAACATACTGCAGCCAGGGAAGCAGGTATTCTAACTGTAGATTTTCACTTCTTCCTATTCCCAAATCTAATCCCCCAGTCTCCTAACCAACTCTGTAGCAGACCATCTGCAGTAGCTTCTCTTCTCCCTATACCCAACTCCCCAATGGATCACACAATCTTTCCCTCCTAATACTGTTCCCTCCACTCATTGCTTTATTCATGCACGTTCTGGGATCTCATAGGCTACTCTGAAGAAGGAAACCAATAGGGTAACTAATGATCTTTACTGTTATCAGGAAGGAAGCAGTCAATGTATCTTTATTTCCTTGATGATATGATAGTATGCATAAGTGACCCCAAAAATTCTACCAGAGAACTCCTATGGATGATAAACATCTTCCACAAAGTGGCTGGATACAAAATTAATTCGAAGACATCAGTAGCACTCCTATAGACAAATTGACTGAGAAAGCATCAGATTGGTGGCTTGCTCTGTCTCTGGGAGCTCCCTGGAATCTAGGTTAGTTAAGACTGCTGGTTTTCCTACCAGGAGTTGCTCTCCCCTTCAGCTTCTTCAATCCTTCCCCTAATTCAACCTTAGGTGTCCCTGACTTCAGCTCAATGATTGGGTGTAAGTATCTGCTTCGGCAAGAGAAAGGAGGAATCAGATGAGGATCTGTGGGATGGGGACCTAGAGGGTGGCAAAACTCGAATGCCAATTTAAAAAAAAAAAGACATCAGGGAAACCACACCTTTCCCCATAGCCCAAAATAATATAAAATATCTTGAAGTAACTCTAACTAAGCAAAAATTGTGTAACACTAAAGAAAGAAAATGAGAATATCAGAAGATAGAAAGATATCTTGTGTTTATAGATCAGTAGGATTAATATAGTAAAAATTGCCATCCTACCAAAAGCAATCTAGAGATTCAATGCAATCCCTATCAAAATTCCAATAGATTTTCAATTCTTTACAGATCTTTAAAGGATAATTTTCAGGTTCATATGAAAATGTACACACTACCACCACCACCACCACCACCACCATCATCACCAACAACAACCAGGTTATCTAAAACAATCCTGAATTCAGGAAAATCACCCTGAATATAAATAGCTATGTGATAGTGTCTTTTGTACTGGAAGGTACAGCACATGCTACCAAAGAAGAAACATAAATACCAACTCAGCCACAAATCTTCTCACCTCCAATAGTATCCTGCTTGCTAGATATACTAGTGTAATTGTATCACAAAGCTTGTGAGAGTAACCAACCAATATCTGTTCTGATTTAAAGCCCACTCCATGACATAAAACTCATACCCAATGCTGCTAGGATGACAAAGAACCTTGAACTATCTAGCCTATGAACTTAGGGTAAAAAAAATAAAAATAAAAATAAAAATCCACATGTGACATCTGCCAAAATGGTTTTAATTAATAGTATTTATTGTTTATGCTACCAAATTAAAATAAAATAAAGTATATTAGGTTTTAGAACCAGAATGAAGTAGACTAATAATTTTTCACACATTTGTCCTTATTATTAAGATTTGGGCCATTGAATATAGATACTGAGATGGCAAATAGAGGTGGTTGATACTTGAAGATAAAAGGAAGTTCTTATATATTAAGATTGAACTTAATTGATTTTATGTTGACCTTATTGTTTTGCACAGTACAAAAAGACACTAAGAAATCAAAATTATGATTTAATTTATATGAGCGTTTGAGAGGTGGCTCAGTGTTTCAGAGTACTTGTTGCATAAAGATAAATATTTGACTTTCTAGTCCAACCTCTAGGACTCCATCTTCCAAGGGTAAAGAGGATCACTGAGGCTTTCTGAAAATCATGATCTGTACATTCTGTCTCAGAGTAATAATGTAGAGAGAGACTGAGGAAGACACCTGTCACTATGATCTCAATATGCACAAAGATAGGTAGCTGCATCTGCATACATGCATAAACATATACTACATACACCACATAAAAACCAAAGTATTTATATAAAGGAAGACTCTGAGGACTAGTGTTTAAGTATTGCTATCCAAACTTTCATAATCATATGGTGAAGTAGAGAATTTATTACAAATAAGTATTACCAGTTCTTTATTAACTCATTAGGTCTAAAATGAGTCAAATAAGTTTGGTGATTTTTATGGTCAGACAACTTTAAGGGAATCTGCTGTCCTTTATATGTATCACCTTATCATATTATATGTGATGAATTTCAGTTACAAAGAAATTTAATAATATATCATTTATGATGGGAATTTTCTCTTTCATACATATATATATATATGTATACATATATATATACATATATATGTATACATATATATATAATTAATTAATGATGCTTTTTGATGAGGTTACAAATATAACTAATCCTTTTAAAATATGTTATCATAAGTCAAAATTACATTTTTAAATAAAGTGATTTATGTGAACCCAGATAGTAGGAAATGACTCCATGTTAGTTCTTAGATAGAGAGGCAAGTCTCAAAGATTTTCATTGGAAATCATCTTGTGTCAAGCAGTGAAACACATTTGGCATTCAGTAATTTTTCTATAAAGCCTTGCAAACTGGAGATTTATATTATATATTTTTATTTCGAAAAGTGTTTTAGCTGGCTTAAAAAATACAACTTTTCCTTTATTCTATAAAAAAAGAGGTTACAATGTTGGACGACTCCTGATGCAAGAGTTTTTTTTTTTTTTTCTTCTTTCAGGCAACACTGCAAGATTTGGATCAGAGACGCCCCCAGTTGGAAGAACTCATTACTGCTGCCCAGAATTTGAAAAACAAAACCAGCAATCAAGAAGCTAGAACAGTCATTACTGATCGAAGTAAGTCTCTTAATGGGCCAGGAAAAGATAAAGTCAGATGCAGAATTTGAAAAACAAAACCAGCAGTCAAGAAGCTAGAACAGTCATTACTGTTCAAAGTAAATCTCTTAATGGGCCAGGAAAAGTTAAGGCCAGCTGTATGAAAATCTCAGTAATAGCCCTAGGTATAGAAAATGGAAAATACTTGAATATGATAACTATGTCACTGAAGAACATTTTCAGTAGGTAAAATCATGCAATAACTGAATGTAACCTCAATGAGTTACAAAGTTGTGATTTTCATGAAGGTAGGGCTTAGGTAGTTTCATAAGGAATGTGGTAAACATAATGTGGAAGATGCTTCTTACCAACCATCTATATGAGCTGGTATTCATGGAGACACCAGTCTCCTTCTACTAATCTTGGTTGTTGGGCTGAATCAACATTTGTTTTCCGAATCATCTTTAATGTCTGTCTACAGTGACCCTTGCAATGCCTGTCATTTGTTAAGTATCTTTTGAGTATCATGTAAAGTACATATACATGTACATATCAAGTTTTCACAAAGTCACTTTATGCAGTTTCATAGTAACTTTTTGATATACAAATAATCAGTTTCCAAGTTAATCTGATTGTTCAGGCTTTCAAAACAAAGAACAGTGCTAAGAGTTTGCAAGTCTCTTTCTGGCTTGGCAGCCTGTTCCTTATACTACTTTATCCAGTCTTTTTCTTTTTCTTTCTGTTTCTAATGTGATCCCAAGAACTTAATGTGCTGTGATTATATATATCTTGATTAATTTCTTAGACACAATGTCTCTTTCATTTGTACTGGTGTTAGTTCAAATAGCCTGTTCACAGTTGTGGAATCTAAACTCCAATTATTTTTCAAACTATGAACTTGTATATTGACTAGTAAGCTCACATATTTTGATGGCTTCCTGTAATAGAAGCTTACCTTTTATTCTCTTATAGCCCCAAAATGGATTCTATAAAATCACCTAAGAACCAAATTTTCTTCCATATTTTTGTATCCAGAACATCTTAGGTATTTAATAAGTAGATATAGGATGAGTATTACTCATGAAGATTTGTTCAGAGCCAAACCTAAAAGTAGTATGCATTGATTTTTATAGTCTGTTGGTTGTGACATGTGACATGAGCCCATGACTGCAAAGATAATGTGAAAACAGTATCAGTATTGAGCCCAAGAAGAAGATGAACAAATTTGCAAAGAAACTAGCCAGCTCAAATAAGTAAATCTTAGGGAGTGACTAAGTAAGATACTGAATTTTCATTATATATGTAATTGAGTTGTCTCTTGCCTGAAAAACTTACAAGAATTTGGTAAAAATATTTATGCAAATATGACCAGACTCTTAGTCATTTTTATTTTGTTAATGAGAGATAACTTCTTTTCCCTAAGAGAAAAGTAGAATTAATACATTTTACAATATCTGTACAACATCAGATGCAGATTTTCTATTATCCCTTGTAATCCTGTTTTCTCTATTGTCTTTACCTTTTTTCATGATATATATTACAACTGAGTAACTGGAGGGCAAATTTGTATTTCTCTGCTAATTTCCAGTGATTTGAATAATTCTGTTTTTCTAAGCTTTTTCCTTTGGGAATGAGATCTTCATAAATAATTCCCCCATTAGGGAACCAATTCTAATTTATATATTCTGTTGAAACATGTCATATTGGTGACTAAAGCATAAGCTGGAATCTGAGCATTCATAAATTTCCTAATGCTGCTACTAGGATAATTCTGACACAATATGTTTGTCTAAACAATGTCATTTTTTTAGTCCTGTCATATTCTAATTTATGTCTCTATTTGAAACCTACAAAATAAGATAGAAATTTAATACTCCTAAAGTCGCATTAATGTTCAAAATATAATTGTTCTCCATATACATTGGATTTCAAGGATATAGAGGGAAATATTTGTTCATAAATTTGCATTTGCCCATTAATAGCCTCAATATTCCTTTTTATTGCCATATATATATATATCCCCCTAGGGATTTTTAAAAATATATGGTTATTATATTGTATCATGAGCAAACCCAGTGACTAAGCATTTTCTTCACTAGTACTAATAGACTTGAAATAAGTAGGTCTACAAAATACTATATGATTTATTATATAAAACAATTTCCTTGATAGCTATTGTTTCCAGGTAATCATATTGGTCATACTCATATTTTACTATAAGTGCTTGAGTAAATTTCTTCCTCAATGACTTCAGATGAGACATAACACATGCTGCTTTCTGGTATTTAGATTGCTTAGTTTTCTCCAGTTCTTTGACTGCTGGATTTGTCAAACATTTCTGGACATTTTCTTCTTCGAAAGGACTGGGTCAAGGGACCAAAAGCACATAAAATAAGAATGATTTGAAGTTGCTTCCCTAGAGGTATCTGAATTATGCAAAACTCTTGTTCATGCCCATTAATATTGCAAAGCATAATACCATAATACCTTGCATAGCAGGGCAGAGGATATGGAAAGAACCAATCTGCTTTATTTTTATTATTTGGTTCATTTCACAGATAATTCTGTCCAACGTGAGCCCTCTATCATTTGTATTTGAGGGCCTTGCTTTTGTACCTTTTTCTTTCATAATTGCCACCATTCTGAAGCCATATAACAAAAGCACATAAAAGTTTTTGACAGCAAGCTGCCTGAATTGGCCGTTTAGCCTTGTGACCTTGGATAAGAAGACTAATTTCTATAAACTTCTGACCTCGTTTCCTTTTCTATAAAATAGAATTACTTATATCAGCCTTAAGGTTTTGGAGAATAACAGGAGATAACATTTGGAATGCTTAGGGCAGAACTCTGATAAAACTTCAGTGAGTGTTAGCTAGTGCTATTTAATTAGAACCTGTTTGGGTTATTTGAATACACATTTAGAAAGAAATTAATGAACTTTTAGTAGCTGTTTGTTTATCTCACCACTAAAATAGCATCAATTCAAAACACTCAACAGTGAAGACTGCTTGGAAACCATAACAAAGGTTATGTAGAAAACATAAGTTATTAAGGAAAATTGTATCTGGATGTATAAGGAAATCCTTGTAATGTATTTCAATTCAATATTCCCTATAAATGAAATAGATTTTATTATTGACTTTTTAGAGATAAAAAATGATGTTTTAGGAAAGATCAAGTAATTTCTTTGTGGAGTAGGAAAATGACACACAAGCAACTAGAAATCAAACCAATGCCTCTGTGATATTAAGGCCTTTGATAGGTAAACCTAAAATGCTGTTTATATAGCAACTATGGCTACCTATAGGCTAGTACAAGTTTAAAACAGTCAAGATCCAATCACAATGGGAGAGGGACTGACCAAAACCTAACCTCCATGAAAAGTTATGAACACTAGATTGTAGCTGAGAGAAGAGTCATTTTCTTCAGTGATATTGTGAATACTAAGTTGCCCAGTCTCCAAGTAAATAAAGCGACATCCACAGTTTCATATAAGAAAACCCAATTAAACTCAGTGAATCACAAAAGTCATATTAGTAGGAAAGGGGCTTTGGGGAAATAAGTAGGGTATACAGTGTGAGTAAAAATATCATAACAGTAAGGATAAATATGAAAATACATTAGGTATATGTATGAAATTTTTCAAGAATAAAAATAATTTTCAAAAGGAAAGGCTGGCTAGTCAAAGAATAGGAAGGATTATATATTTGAGAGTTTTAAGCATTAGTACTCAAATTACAATAAGCTTAACATAATCTTTTGCTGCCCTGTTTATATTTTTATTCTATAAGCATATGCATATATAATTAGAGAATTATCACTTCCATGTGTTGTATAATCACAGAGTGGTAGTGAACCCTAGTAATAGCATTAGGTTTTTGGTCTAGCCCTAGTGGGTTTACTTCCCTAAACAATGGATCCCCAATGCATTAGCTGAGGCAAATCATAGTTGTTCGAACCTCTGTTATCTATAAGGCCTTGTTGCTGAAGGCACCATATATTTGAATCAAAGAACATGAAAAAAGTCACGCTAATATGGACCTTCATCTTTACTGTCTCAGTTTTCAGGGTAGAAAGGTGCTATGTATGGTACCAGAGGAGAAAAGTAATCACTAGTGTTACACAGCTGCATATCTTTGAACTACAATAATTACTGACCTGGCAAGACATGCCCAGTGGTACCATAGTGGCACAAACATGATGGGAGTAACCAACAACTTTCTGATTTAAGACTTTCTCTATCAGATGAGACATATACCGAGAACTATCATCAAGCTAAGTACTGACAGTTAGACAGTCCATTGTTCTCATTGGAGAGCCTAATACAATTATGCTGCTAACTGGGCATAGTATTAAACCAGCTCCTAATGACTTATCATTATATCCCATAGATCAGTACATCTCTCAAGTCCCATCTGAGAAACTTGTATTTGTAGAGGATGGCAATTATAATGCTACCCCACAATTGACATAGGTTCAGAGGATAAGAGACTAGAAAATGCTTAGCCCTAAGTGAAACATATATTCTACTCCTTTCTCCCTACCCTGAATCTCAACGTCCATTGTGGAAGATGACGTGGAAAGATGGTGGTAAATGATTACAAGGAAATAGTATCTTTTGATCACAGAAGAGCAGCTTCACATACTGCTTCTTCATAGCAGTTTGGATACTATGTGTGAAACTTTCATAAGCCCTTGCCAGACTAGGAGAGTTGAATATACAATTCACCCTTATCCATGAAGCTATTGTCAATTATTAGCTACTAGAAGAGAAAGAGTCATTTTTCTCTAAGAGTAAACTTACCACTCTTCATCTAAGACCACATGTCTAATAATATTTGATCATTAAACAATGATCTCAAAGATTTTTTACAAAATAGTCCCAAAATAGGGTGAATTGGTAGGGCGTTGTTGGATGTGGAAGCAGTTGGTAATACAGAGTGAATAATATTAAAATATGTTTTATAAAACTCTCAAAGAATTAATTTTAAAACTCATTTCTTTTTTATTAATCATTTTGT